CTGGGGACGGGATATCTCCAGGAGGCTTCCCACCCACCAGCCTGCTGTTGTCAGGGAAAGAGGAAGCAGCCATTAGGGGGAAGGAGGTGAGATAGACTTCCGGAAGAAGTAAGCAAGCGGGGTGGGCTGTAGCCCCTGTCCTCTTGGGGCCATCCTCTGCCGGTCGATGGCCTCTCCAGTCATGTGACATCCTTGCTGCAGCCCTCCTGCCCACCTGCTCCCTGTGCCCTCAGGGATCCGTGTAGTGCCTGCCCCCCACCTGCCAACACACCCTTAGAGCTTCTGTGCTATATATTCTCTCTCCTTGTTTATATTAGCATTGGAGGCCTGGTGCACAAAATTCGTGCATGGGGGGGGGGTTTCCCCTAAGCCCAGCTGCACCCTCTCCAATCCGGGATCCCTCAGGGGATGTCCAACTGCCGGTTTAGATCCCTCTCCAGGGATCTAGGACCAGACCCAAACCCACAATCCAGGACCACTGTCTCCTAATTGCTCACCTGCTTGCCTGCCTGATTGCCTCTAACTGCCCCCTGCCCCTGCTGGCCTAGTCACCCCTAACTGCCCCCTCATCTCCTGCCAGCCTGGTTGTACCCAACTTCCCTCCCTGCTGGCCTGGTCACCCCATGCAGCCTGCTGTTCAGTCGTTTGGTCATCCCTCACTAACCCCCCTGCCGGCCTGGTCGCCCCACTCAACCTGTGTTAGGTTGTCCATCCGGTTATTTCGGTCATAACAGTCCCTAGCTTTTTATATATTAGGATTGCCGAGGCTGGTAGACATGAGTACTGCTGCTGCTAGTACTGCTACTGCCAACAGCTCCCTTTTTCTGGGGTTTTGTTTGTTTTTAGTGTGTGCCACGTTCTGTGTTGTTAATGGCACAGACCCATGAGGAAGATATTACATTCTCTCCTTTTTGCAGTGAGCATCAGAGGTGTGATTCACCTGAGGTGACTGAGACTGTGATGTCACTGGGGTTAGAGCCCTGCTTCAGCCGACGCTGAAGCCCAGACCCAGACCCACTGCCCTGTTCTAAGGCCAGTCCCATGCCCACCGTCCCCAGATGAGTCCATTGTTAGGAGTCTTTGAATATTTTTAATATTACTAATAAGTGACCTTTTATATATATATATATGCTGAGACACATCAGGCCTGAAATTGCACATCTAGCCAAGTAGGGGGTGCTCCTGGGGCAGCAGTTTACAGACTTCAAAAGGCTTTATTGTACATTTTCTTCTTTGGGCCTCAGGACAGCCCTGTACGGTTAGGAATGAAGTGATTTTATTGTCATCCATAGAAAGGAAATGGGACTCAGAGGCATGATGTGACTGGCTCGATAGCCAGAGGTGACTTGGGTCCAGTGCTTCCCTGACTCCCTCTCCCCAGCTTGGCCTTTCTTCTGTCTTGGGAGTTAGGACTGGGACAGATGCCCCCTTAAATGACACAAGGGAGAACCCACTAGGAGTCTTAAAAAAAATCTATATAACTATATATCTATCTATATATCTATATCTATATAAAGCATAATATGTTAATTAGACCAGACAGCCAAATTACCTTCCAGATGACCTTCTGGGTGTAGCTGGGGCTGCGAGGGCCAGGACCCTTGCACAAATTTCGTGCACAGGGCCTCTAGCGTGTGTGTGTGTGTGTGTGTGTGTGTGTGTGTGTGTGTGTGTGTTTATGTGTTTTAATTAATTTCAGAGACAAGGGGAAAGGGAAAGAGAGAAACTTCGGTGATGTCAGCTGCCTCCTGCCCATCCCTTACTGGGGATGTTGCCTGCAATCCAGGTATGTGCCCTGACCTGGAATTGAACTGTGACCTCCTGATGCTCAACCACTGAGGTCGATACTCAACCACTGAGCCATGCCAACAGGCCACTAGGAGTCTTGAGCACAGGGTCTTCTTTTACCCTCAGAGTGGGTCTCTCTGACCATTGCTGTTGAGGCAAGTCCACCAATGGGGCTCAGGGGGCCTCTGGAACGCACTGCCAGAATGAAGGGAGTCTTGGGAATGAGTGGCTATGGCTGAAGAAGTAGCTGCAGAAAGACCCCATGTTGGCCCCCTTCAAGGAGGGGAGCAGGCACGGCTGGGGAGGGAGATATTCTTCCATTTGCGTAGAGGGAGTAGCAAAGACTTCATCGCTAAGTCTTTGATCTCTAAATCAGAGGGTGCTGGTCCAATCCTGACTGGACTGGAGCCTTCCTCCAGGGTTGGCAGCTCTACAAATGGGGATGGCCCCCTGGGAAAGCACGGCGCCTCGTGTAGCAAGAGGCTGCTACCATCGGCTTCCAGCCTGAAGCGGAGGAATAGCTCCTAGTAGGCAATGCAACAGACGCCAAAAGGTATTTGCCTCAAGATGTTCCCCGTAACGTTAGCAAGGCAAAAACCTGAAGAGAAGGAAGCCGCTCAGTGTCCAGTGAGCTGGCCTGGCACCTGGCAGAGTGGGATCCTATGGTGTCGAGAGGAGCATGGAAAGGTTTGTGGTGCAACTGACTCCACATCACACTGTGTCCCTTGAAGGAGGGATGACTCACGGGAACACTCTCTCTTGGTCTCAGTGCCAGGAAACTCTGTGTTTCCCCAGGGCGGCCGCCTTGCTTTTATCTTGAGCTCCACATATCTGTCAGCTGACCGTGTTTCCCTTTTAGCTCTGACAGTCAGGAAGCTCCAAGTCAAATTCATGACCCGTTGCTCACAAGCGTGTGGCAGGGGTTTGGAAATCAATATCGTTCCTGGCTTTATTTTCTTTCCTTTCCCCCCAGACACTTGCACTTATTAATAATCCTGTATTTTACGCTGTGTCTGTCAACTACTGAAGAAAAATATTTTTGGAATGGAATAGGGTGGAGAGGAGAAAGTATTTTTTTTTTAAAAAAGGGAAGACATGATTTTAGTAACATTCCTTTCAGATTTAGCTGAAGAGTAGCAATTCCGCTGGTCTCTCATGGATATAAAAGGGTTGATACCTTTAGCTGGTCATGTTAGAAACCATACCAGTGATGGATAAAATAGGAAAATGAAAAAGAAAAGAATGAGATGTCACTTTTCCCCTAGAAAATTGGCAAAAATTTGTGCTGACAACCCCGTGTTGGCCTGGACGAGGCCTGGCAGACTCTTCTTTGAGCTTATGGGTGTGACCTGGATAACCAGAGAGCATGGCACGTGCAGGTGTGCAATTTGTTAATTACACACCTAAGTAAACTGTAGGGAATCCCTTAGACATGGGCACAGAAGACTTTACAGAAAATATTTGCTTTAGCTGTGCTAGCAAAAGTAAGGAAACATTCTCAATGTCCAAAGGACCCTAGCCAGTTTGACTCAGTGGATAGAGCGTCAACCTGTGGACTGAAGGGTCAGCCTGGGTTCTCTCTCTGCCTCTGCTCCACCCTTCACTCTCTCTGAAACATCAATGGAAAATACCCTCAGGTGAGGATTAACAAAATATTAAAATTAAATTTGAAAATGTCCTCAAAGGGAGAATGGGACTTAAATTGTGGGCCCTAGCCAGGTAGCTCAGCTGGTAGGTAGCTCAGTTGGTTAGAGCGTCATCCTGATATGCCACGCTTGTGGGCTCCATTCCTGATCACATTCAAGAATCAATCAATGCATGCATAAGTGAAACAACAAATCGACATCTTTCTTTCTTTCTCTCTCTCTCTCAAAAAAAAAAAAAAAAAGAAAAGAAAAAGTAAATTGTGGTCTAAGCCCACAATAGAATATTATATGACTAGAGGCCCGTTGCATGGGATTTGTGCACTGGTGGAGGGCGTGGCCTGCAGGGATTGCCTGCTGTGGAAGCACTGCTGTGGACCCGCCCTGAGTGGCTGCTCCTGATGTGGGAGTGCACTGACCACCAGGGGGCAGCTCCTGCATTGAGTGTCTGCCCCCTGATGGTCAGTGCACATCATAGTGACTGGTCAACCAGTTGTTCTGATCGTTCTGCCATTCGGTCGCTGGGCTCTTATTCTATAGGATACTGAATATGACTGAATCATAGCTACATGTCCTGCTACGGACACATATTGGGCAAAAAAATGGCAAATTGCAGAAGATACAGATAAGTATGACTTTATTCTATAAAGTTTCAAGTGTCAGAACCCATATTATATCTTATTTATGGTTCCACATATATGTCTGGAGGGTATAAAGACATGAATGGGGACAATAACACCTGAGCCAGGACAGCAAGAGGAGGAAGAGGAAGGTGACCAGGGGAGGGTTGCCATGGGTACTGAATACACATATGTGAATTGTGTTATCATCTATTCTTTGGGGTATGGCTGAAACAGTTTGTTAAAACAAAGAAAAACGGGGTGAACACTGTTATTGCAGCTGTTTAAGACATTCTGGCTGCATCCGAACAGAGGTGGGAAGGCAATGAGTGAAAAGCTATGGTTTCCAGGAGGTAGGAGCCTGGGCGAGCATAACAGCAATGCCCGTGCTGTTCCTAAGAGGATGGGAAGGTGTCTACTGATGTGATGCCTGCTATGCTCAGATTTCAAGGACCACCAGGAAGCCGAGTCCGATGCAAAAAACAAAAGAGCCTTTATTCAAACTCGAGTCTGGTCTCCCTGCCTCTACCGACGTAGCCAGCGGCAGAATGCAGAGAGCCCCGAACTCTGAAAGTGTGGTCTTTTTATAGGGTTTAGGGTTGGATGGTGGGGTGATGCTCAGACCACTGAGTTGGCTGGTTCTGATTGGTGGGGAAAGGGCCAGGGTCCGGTTACACTGGGTTACTTCCCTCTGTATTTCTATTGGCTGCTATAAGGGTGGGTTGGGTAATTGATACATTGTGTACAAAATGGAAGCCAGAGTACAAAATGTAGTCAATCCTGCTCTGCCCTTGAAAGAAGGCCTACATGCTGGGAAGGGGCCATGAGACCGTATCTCAAGGCCTGGCCTGGTGTCAGCACTGAGAACTCTATCTGGGGCACAGTCTACAGCCTCTCTGGAAGCATGCTCCAACATTCTCACTCTCTAACAATGCCATCTTCCCCACAGGCTTTGTGATCCAGGGCTCCAACGGCGAGTTCCCCTTCCTGACCAGCAGCGAGCGCCTGGAGGTGGTGAGCCGCGTGCGCCAGGCCATGCCCAAGGACAAGCTCCTGGTAGCTGGCTCTGGCTGCGAGTGTGAGGCCATAATGCCCTGGGCCCTGGGGGCCTTCGGGGGTGGGCGGCCAGGCTCCCCGGCCCAGGGGCTGGGCTCCGTTTACTTGCTTGTCTCTCCTGCACTCCTTGCTTGCCCCCGGGTCCCAGCCCAGCCCTCTTCCTCCTCCCCCTGCTCCCACCCGGCATGACCCACAGGGAAGACCTCCCCCTCTTTCCTGCCGCAGCCACGCAGGCCACGGTGGAGATGACGGTGAGCATGGCCCAGGCGGGGGCCGACGTCGCCATGGTGCTGACTCCTTGCTACTATCGCGGCCGCATGAGCAGCACGGCCCTCATTCACCACTACACCAAGGTGGGCGTGAGGGGTGGGCGTGGGGTGGGAGCTGGGCCCGAGAAGAAGCGGAATGAGGGGGGCATGCTGCCTGGGAAGAGGAGACTGGAAGCTGGGAACAGAGTGGTGAGCCTACGTCCCATGAACGGCAGCTCTGGGGAGGGGAGAAAGGCCTCCACGTGCCTGCTGTGTGACATTGTGTGACCGCCCTCACCATGCTGTCTCTGCTTCCTTCCTTCTCAAGTAGGAGGAATAAAGGGACTTCTTTTTTCTTTTTCTTTTTTTAAATATATTTTATTGATTTTTCACAGAGAGGAAGAGAGAGGGATAGAGAGTTAGAAACATCGATGATAGAGAATCATCGATTAGCTGCCTCTTGCACACCCCCTCCTGGGGATGTGCCCGCAACCAAGGTACACGCCCTTGACCGGAATCGAACCCAGGACCCTTTAGTCCACAGGCTCTATCCATTGAGCCAAACCAGTTTCGGCCAAAGGGACTTCTTTATAGTTGTTGTGAAGACTAAATTATATCAAACATAAAGCACTGGGACGGTGCTTGGCACGTAGAAAGCACTCACTAATGACTTCCCACTGTTCCTGCTTTCAAGCAGGGCCTTGTGGACTGTGACTTCCGGCCCAGGAGGTGGGCCTGGCCAGGGTGCCCTGGCCCGGACCTGTGGGGCCTGGGCAGCTGCCCTCTCCCCTCTTCTCTGTGCCCCTCAGGTCGCTGACCTCTCTCCAGTTCCTGTGATGCTGTACAATGTCCCGGCCAACACGGGGCTCGACCTGCCTGTGGACGCGGTGGTCACTCTTTCCCAGCACCCGAACATCATTGGCATCAAGGACAGCGGTGGTGACGTGAGTGGCAGCAGCTCCTGGCTGTGGGCACCGTCCACTTCTCTTCTGCTATCATCTTCAGGGCAGTTCTGGGACCTGCTTCCATTTGGGTCCTCTCTGTCCTGTGGGATCTTGGGAGTGGGCTGGTGGAGGGCTCTCATTCACCCACCCTGGCCCAGCCCCCACCCAGGCTAGCCTGGGGCTCCGAGCTCCACTCACAGCGGGCTTTGCTGTTGCAGGTGACCAGAATCGGGCTGATGATTCACAAGACCAGGAGGCAGGATTTCCAGGTGTTGGCCGGATCGGCTGGCTTCCTGCTGGCCAGCTACGCCGTGGGTAGGCCTCCCGCTGCTCTCACGCTGTGAGGATGGCCCAGACACACCCAGGAAGCTGGGGTCTGCTGGAAGAGACCATGAGTACCAGGACTGGGTCTGCAGAGGGCCCTTGCCAGCTTGCTTGCTCTGTAACCTCAGAAGCTTAGCACGTTGCTTGCTTGTCTGGACACTGGGTGCTTGTGAGTGACCTTGTTGGGTGGAGGAGGAGGAGGGTGGCCGGGTATAAACCCTGGCCTGTCGTTGGAATGCTTGCAATTTGCTCTAAGCCCCAAGCTCCATGCTTAGGTGGTAAGCTTAGCTCCAGGAATCTCACAGAGGCCCCGGCCCTCCCTCCCCTGGAGGCCGGAGTTAACTTTGCTCTTTCTCTGCTTCCGGCCTAGAATGAACGGTCAGACCTGCAGGGTCAGGCAGGGATCTTCAGCTGCCTGATCAGAGTCTATCCCAGTCCAGGACCCTGGGAATGTCACCATTAGACCGACTGTTCTTGTCTGTCTGGGGTCAAGGTCCTTTGGTTTTGAGCCCGAGGAGGGTGCCGGATGGGGGTGGGGCCCTTTGCTCCTTCAGCTGACTCAGATTTAAGCTACTTTTCCAAAACTGCCAGGTCCTGTTCTCTCTGGTTAGTGCAGACTTTGGCTCACCATCTAGGTCCTTGCACACCCCTCTCTGCGTCTTTAAAGCACAGGGGAAGAAGGCGACTCCGTTACGCCTTGTTCCTGAGGATGGGGTAGATGGAAAAGGATCTGGAGGCCCGGGTCTGAGCTGGAATCTCAGCTCTGCTGTTGACTCACTGAGTGTCTGTCAGTGGGCGAGGTACTCAGCCTCGCTGGGTTTGAGTTTCTACTCTGAGAGGTAGAGAGCACTGGCTGCCATAGTGCTTGGCACATAAGAGGGATTACATAAATGGCAGCTATAAAAACCTATTGGCATTGCCTACTCTCTCTCCAGGATCCAAGCCCCTCTGCTTAAGGGCACTCCTAATTAGCCTTCACGCCACAGGCACAGGCTGGCGGGAGGGAGAGGGCCTCCGCGATTGCAGCCAGCCCCTTACCTGGCCTTGAGGAGAACCAAGAGGACCAGAGGGTCTGTGACTTGTCCAGCTTTATGCAGCCAATGGGAGGAAATGCCGGGTGTCCTGTGTCCAGAGCACTTTCCGCTCCCCCACTCCAACCCCACCGCTGTTCCAAGCTGAATTCAGGATGGGGTGGGGGTGGGGGGAGGGGATAAGATTTCAGAAAAGCAAAGACTTCCCATTCCCCTCAACCCCTGTGAGTCAGGGGGTCAGTAGAGGAGTGTGGAGGTGCCAACTGGCAGATGGAACTTTACTTTTTTGGGGGGGGAGGGGGGGTGGATGGTGCAGGGAAGGAAGTGCCCTTGAGTTAGCCTTCAATCCCTGTTCCCTGACCCTCCGCCTACTTCGCTGACTATGCCGGCAGGTTCTCTCTGTGCTCTGTGGACTCACGGAGCGGCCTTGGACAGGCCAACCGGTGGCCTAGGAATCCACATGCTAGCTCCTAACAGAGAGGTTCTGGGCCAGGGTTGGGAGTTCTCTGTGAGAAGAGGCTCTGGCTGATGTTCTGCATCCTTCTCTGGGCAGGGGCTGTGGGGGGCATCTGTGCCCTGGCCAACGTCCTGGGGGCCCAGGTGTGCCAGCTGGAGCGGCTCTGCCTCACGGGGCAATGGGAGGACGCCCAGAAGCTACAGCTCCGCCTCATTGAGCCCAACACTGCGGTGAGCTCCCCGCCAATAAAGCCAAGGGGAGGTGGGCGGGGAGGTGGTTCTGTGTCCTCCTTACAGCAGGATGCACGCAAGGCTGGCCCAGGGGTCCCCTCTCGATCTCTTTCTTTTCAGAAAATCCTTTTAGAAAACACTCTGTGTCTCCCTCAAAATCTTGACTTTCGACAAAGTTGAGCCCTAACTTTAGTGTGCATTAGCGTTCATTTAGGCATCTAGTTAAAACTAATCCTTGAGGCTCACGGAGAGGCATGGAGGTAAGCATCCTGAGGGATTGTGACAGACAGAGTTGTCCTGGGACCTGACTTAGATGCGCTGCCTAGCGAAAGGGTCCGAGGGCCTATATAAAGGGTCAGGTCCTACCAGAATGGAGAATGGTAACAGAGATGTTGGAACGCTGGAGGTATTTAGAGTTCTGCCTTCAAATAATCTGTTCTGCAGTCAGACCGTGTACCCCAGTTCTGAGCTGGGCAAGTCGAGAAGATGCAAGAGAGAAAGCCTGTCACTGCCAGACAACGCTGTGCAGAGCCATATTGGAGTCCGAGGCAAAAAGAAAAATGTGTGTCCCTATAGGTAGGTAGGTAGGTAGATAGATACTGTGTTTCCTCAAAAATAAGACATCCTCCAAAAATAAGACCTAGCACATGGAAAGATAAGACATCCCCTGAAAATAAGACCTAGCGCAACTTTGGGAGAAAAAATTAATATAAGACACTGTCTTATTTTTGGGGAAACAGGGTAGATAGATAGATAGGTAGATTATAGATTTCAGAGATAGGAGGGGAGAGGATGAGAGAGAATCATCGATCGGCTGCCTCATGCACATCCCCTACTGGGGATTGAGCCTGAAACCCAGGCTCCTAACTGGGAGTGGAACCGTGACTCCTGGTTCATGGGCCCATGCTCAACCACGGAGCCACACCAGCTGGGCTTTATGTCTATTTTAACTTAAACTTATAATACAGGAACCACTACCTGTTTTCTCTGTAGGAACACTGTCACAACCAGGATTTTGATACTGATATAGACAAGATATAGAATATTTCCTTCACGACAAAGATCCCTCACGTTTCACTTTTAGAACCACACATACTGACCTCCTGCCCCTACCCTCTCTGTAACCTATGGCAGCCATAGATATGTTTACCAATTTTTAAATTGTTCCAGTTCAAGACTGTTATATAAATGAAATATTCTAGTCCATAACCTTTTGAGATAGGCTTTTTCGCTCGGAATCTTTTTCTGGAGATTCGTCCAGATGTTGCACGTATCGATAAGACTGTTCCTTTTTCTCGATGAGTAATATTTCATGATATGGCCACACCACAACTTGTTTAACCATTCACTGTTGAATAACAGCTTGGTGTTTCTAGTTTGAGCTATTCAAAGCTTCTATGAACATGCATGTATGTGTCTTTGTGTGACCGTAAGTTTTCATTTTCCTAGGATAAATACACAATAGCTGAGTGGTAGGATGGCTGCATGTTTAATTTTTATTTTAAGAAATGGCCATACTAGCTTCCAGAGTGGCTGTACCATTTTATATTTATATCGGTATAAGTGTATGAGTGATCCAATTTCTTTGCATCCTCACCAGAACGTGATCTTATGTGCCCGCAACCACGGTACATGCCCTTGACCAGAATCGAACCCGGGACCTTTCAGTCTGCAGGCCGATGCTCTATCCACTGAGCCAAACCAGTCCCGGCTATGTTTAGCTTTTGATGTCCAGTCTAAGAGAGCTATTTGCCTACCACCAAATTGTGAAGATTTTCTCCTATTTTTTCCTAAAATTGTATAACTTTACAATTTATAAGTTTGTGACAATTTTGAGTGGATTTTGTGTAAAGTGGGAGACTTAGATTGAGGTTCTCTTTTTGCTTATGGATATTCACTTGTGATTTTCCTCCATTTAGTCATTTTGGCACCTTTGTCAGACATCAGTTGGGTGTATTTGTGTGGGTCTATTTCTAGATTCTCTATTCTTTCCATTGATCGATCCCTCTGCAATAATAGGTAGCCTTTATTATTGTAGTATATCATAAATCTTAAAATCAGGTAGTCTGATTCTCCCCATTTCATTTTTCAACAGTTTTAGGTCGAATTCCTTAGCATTTTCATAGAAATTTTAGAATAATCTTGTCTATATCTACAAATACTCTTGCTGGGATTTTGATAGGAGCCTGTATACCAATTTGGTACAATTGACATTTTTACTATGTTTTCTCCAAAATTTTGAATGTGATATGTCTCTCTATCTGTGTAGACTTCTTTTGATTTATTTAATCAGCATTTTGTAATTTTTGGCAAACAAATCCTATACAAGTTTTGAGAGATTTACACCCAAGTGACTTATATTTTTTGAATGATTATAAATGGTACTGTATTTTTAAAAATATATTTTATTGATTTTTTACATAGAGGAAGAGAGAGGGATAGTTAGAAATATCGATGAGAGAGAATATATTTTATTGATATTTTTACAGAGAGGAAGGGAGAGAAATAGTCAGAAACATCGATGAGAGAGAAACATTGATCAGCTGCCTCCTGCATACCCCCTACAGGGGATGTGCCCGCAACCAAGGTACATGCCCTTGACCGAAATCGAACCCGGGACCTTTCAGTCCACAGGCCGACGCTCTATCCACTGAGCCAAACCGGTTTCGACTGGTACTGTACTTTTTATGTTGTTAATCCCCACCTGAGGAACTATTTGCCCACCACCAAATTGTGAAGATTTTCTTCTATTTTTTCCCCTAAAATTGTCTAGTTTTATATTTTTTCCATTGCTTTTAGAGAAAATATATATTTTACTGATTTTTTACAGAGAGGGAGAGAGAGAGCCATAGAGTTAGAAACATCGATGAGAGAGAATCATCGATCAGCTGCCTCTTGCATACCCCCTACTGGGGATGTGCCCACAACCAAGGTATATGCCCTTGACCAGAATCGAACCTAGGAACCTTCAGTCCGCAGGCCAACGCTCTATCCACTGAGCCACACCGGTTTCGGCTTTAATTTTATTTTTAATTGCATGAACTACTTACCTTGATGACTGAGCTTTATGGTTTTGCCTCTAAGACAGCAGTCCCAGACTGAGCGAGGCAATGTTTTCTGTTTGGGTAAAGTGGTGGGCAGCCGCCAGATCCCGCTCACAGTCTTATGTCTTCACCTCAAAGGGGCAGATTAACTCAGACTTGGAGAAAGGACAGCTGAGGAGGCAGGCATGCGTCTCCCTGGCTGTGAAGGTTCTCCTGGGATGGGACACTCTGTCAATAGGAAGTAAGAGCTGCAGAAACGAGGGCCTCTCAGCTGAGCCCCATCCAGGGCATGGGCTGTACTGGACATACGGGGCTTTCCGCTGAGGTGGGACCTCTGCTGTCCTGCTCCCATCCACCTGCAAGAGGGAAGGTCCCAGAACCTTCTACCACTAGGACAGGAGGAGGATAAGCGTCTCGGGCTTTGGAGGGGGTCTGGCCTCGCAGTGGCATTTTTCTCATTCAATTCTTCTGACGTGAGGTAGGTTGTTGCTATCACATCATTTTATAAATGAAAGCCGCTTGGGCTGCCCCGTGGGAAGAGAGGATGCCTGCTGCCATCCAAAGCTAGGCATGCCATCCTGTCTTACCCTCCGGGATTCCTCCTCTGCCAGCGCTGGGCACACACTCAGGAATTCCTGGAACACCTTTCTGCTGCCTGGACTGTAGGCTCAGCCACCCCAAGAGCAGCTTGATGTCACCTCATTTCCCTCCCCTGCTCGAACACAATGTTCTTCCTAGCCCTCACACCAGCCAGCCTCCTGCCCCGGCTATATTTAGGACTTTCCGCTGTCTGCACACCAAAGCATTCAACCCTTTCTCACGGCCTGAAGAGGGCCAAATCAGAGATCTTCGGCACCGATGGGGGGAGAAAGCTTCTCTAGGGTCCACGAGTCTCTGGTATTTCTTGTGTCCACACTCTCTCCCCTGCTCAGGTTTGTGGTGAAATGCCCGGGTTATGAGAACACCATGGCGGGCTGGGGCCAGGCCTGGAAGAGGTTTGCTAACGCCTACTGGCCTCTAGTAGTGAATAGTGACTAGTCAACCTTTCATCGGGCTGCCAACTTTTCTACCCCAAACAACTTTTTTTTTTTTTTTTTTTTTTACTTGTCCTGAAGCCCATACTTCTAAGGTTTTTTTCTTTTCTTATTTCCAAATAAAACTTTATTAAGTGATGATTACTTTCCTAGTTTTTAGTGAGTCAAAGATTCATCTACCACTTCTGATAAGCATGAAATAACCAGTTGCTGCGCTAAAAGCACAGAAACCCGATGCATCGTTTTCTGTAAAACCCCATGTGTGGTTTCAGACCGACAAAAACCTTAGGTCCCTCACGGCAAGGGAAACGATTTTAGAGATCATGCCCTGCCCTCTCATTTTTTAGACAAGAGAACTAGCTCAGAGCTACTAAGTTAAAGATCTAAGGTTATACAATGAAACGTCTTTGGACAAAGATCCTTCCCTGCCCTCTCATTTTTTAGACAAGAGAACTAGCTCAAAGCTACTAAGTTAAAGATCTAAGGTTATACAATGAAACGTCTTTGGACAAAGATCCGTTGTTTTTCAGTGCGAGCATTCAGAGTTGGGTCAGGGAGGAGCCTGCTGCAGGGCCAGTACAGGTTTGGACTGCGCCTGACTTCCTATGCGTGCTGTGCCCTGGGTCAGGTTCCAGGGACCGTTGCTGTGGACCGATCATAGTCTAGCACCCAGGCCCACAGCATTGCTGCTTTCTCTCCTCCCCATGGGGTGGATTTTTCTCCTAAATCCAAGGGAGGCATCTCCCTGTCTTCAGTTGAGGTTTTGGCTTTGTGTTCTCTACGGCCGGCCTGTCTTCTGGTCTCTCCGTCTGGATTCCCAATCCACCCTGGGGATCACAGATTGGATGGAGGGGAAGGGTAGAAACCCCAACTTTCTAAGAGTGACACGTGTCCGGGTCCGGGGCGTATTGTGTAGAAACCCCCCAGTCTCTTCTAACAGGCCCTCCTTCTCAGGTGACCCGGCGCTTTGGAATCCCGGGGCTGAAGAAAGCCATGGACTGGCTCGGCTACTACGGAGGCCCCTGCCGGGCCCCCTTGCAGGAGCTGAGCCCAGAGGAGGAGGAGGAGCTGCGCCTGGATTTCACCAACAACGGCTGGCTCTGAGGGCAGAGAGGAGGCAGGCGGGAGCCCATCTCAGCTCCTGGCTTGCACTCGCAGCCCAAAGAGAAGCACGGGGACCAGAGGGTTCATGGCTCCTTTTCCTACTTCAGTCCTTCGGGTGCCTCTCACCAGGTGCTATGCATGCTCACTTCCTATTTTCACAGCCCCACCACTTCTTGAATTTGCATCCTAAACGCTGGGTCTCTGGAGACCTATGGTCTGGACAGGAGCCATTGCTTGCTGGGCTCTCCACCGTGGTTTCCTGTGCCCCCAAGACACAGGAGCCAGGAGCCAGCTCAGAGGGGAAGCGCAGGGCAGCTGGGCATAGGAGGGCTACGTGTCTGAGGAAGGACGGCTTAGACTTGGAGACACACACCTGACTCTAGCACAGGCAGGGGAAGCCAGGGCTACGCTAACAGCCCCAGTGCTGACTCTTTCCAGGGGACCCGATCAGAAAAATGTCACTTGCCTTTGAAAGCCCTCCCACCACAGGATGCATGCCAGCCACCATGCCCTTTCCACAGTCTGTTTTGATTCATCTAATATTCTCGTCTCTAGCTTTGTTCTCAGCTGTTAAGTGCACAGAGAGCAGCCCAGAATTGGTAAATAAGGACACCTAGTGGGGAAATGTTATATCTGGAGGACTATTGTCATCATCACAAGTCTGAACCATCAGGGAGGGGGCTTGGCCTGAGGGCAGGACCATCCTCTAGGCACTCTGCTTTTATTGTTAAAAATCATTACTCTGTTACTGTAATAAAGTGTAATACGTTAAACTGGTGTGGCGATATGGAGATGGATACTGCACTGCTATGCAGCCCTTAGGTTTCCTGCCCAGATATTGAGAACCTCCCTAGAGGCGTTTAGCTCTCCAGGTCTGCTTTTTCCAGCTCTGAGAAAATGCTAAGCAAACATAGGCGATACATTAGTGACAACCTAGGGTAAGGCTTATTGCAGTTTTATTTTTTTTAATATATTTTATTGATTTTTTACAGAGAGGAAGAGAGAGGGATAGAGAGTTAGAAACATCGATGCGAGAGAATCATCGATCAGCTGCCTCTTGCACCCCTTCCCCCCAACTGGGGATGTGCCCGGAACCAAGGTACATGCCCTTGACCAGAATCGAACCTGGGACCCTTCAGTCCGCTGGCAGGCACTCTATCCACTGAGCCAAACCGGTTTCGGCTTATTGCAGTTTTAAATGGGAGAGGTAAAAAAAGGTTCAGCTGACATATTTAGGGACAGTTAGCACATTAAGTGGAAAGGCTGCTTTCTCCAAAATGTTTAACCTTCCTCATGATATCTGACAAGAGGCAGAAAACCTAATGTGATTTTTTTTTTAATTACTTTGGTTGAAAAAAAATAGATAAATGGATTTCTTGCTTAGGGCATAGGCTAGGAGAGAATATAAACAATATCACTTTTCAACTAAAACTGGGCATCTGACTGGCACTGAAACTTGGCACTTAGCACCTGGACTCTTCTCACAGACAACTTCTAGGAGAACTGAGCTCAGAGGAGTAGCAGGTTCAGGGAAGGACCACAGAGGTCGGGTTAGGGGTGCAGGCGCTTGCCTCCTCAGCTGCCCTGGTGACATGCTCGGCCCCTGGGCTTAGACAGCCGGAGCTGAAGTTCTGGGATCTGCCCCTTGGTGTCTGTAGGGCCTTTGGAAACTACTTCACTGCCCTGAGCTTCCTCTGCAGCATGGGATCATAGAGCATCTTTCTCCCAGGACTGTGAGAGCAGGCTGTAAAAGGGTTGGTGTGGCAGGGAATGTGCGGAGAAAGGGAAACCTAGGCAGGAGTGACTCGCCCAAGGTAATCAACCAGCCAGTGTGACAGTAACTCGTCTCAGGACGTGGGTACCAATGCTCAGGGAGAGGGGAGCAGAGGAGAAGGTTGGAATCAGAAAGACCTGAAAACAGCCGAAACCAATTTGGCTAAGTGGAAGTGGATGGAGCGTCAGCCTGAGGACTGAAAGGTCCCAGGTTCGATATCCTATCAGGGGCATGTGCCTTGGTTGCAGGCACATCCCCTGTAGGGGGTGTGCAGGAGGCAGCTGGTCAATGTCTCTCAATATTTCTGGCTCTCTCTCGCCCTTCCTCTCTGTGAAAAAGCAGTAATATATATATATATATATATATTTTTTTTTTTTTTTTTTTTTTTTTAAAGATCTGGAAACAAACCCACTCAGCTCTGCCACTAGTTTGGACAACCTTAGCCTGATTTTTTAAAAATTATTTTGGGATGACATTAGTTAAACACGTCTGATTTTTTTTTTAAATGCTTCTTTTATGCAGAGGGTTTTTTAAAAATGTATTTTTATTGATTTCAGAGAGGGAGAGAGATAGAAACATCAATGATGAGAATCATTGATCAGCTGCTTCTTGCATACCCCGCCTCTGGGGAGTGAACCCACAACCCGAGTATGTGCCCTTGACTGGAATAAAACCCAGGACCCTTCAGTCCGCAGGCCAACGCTCTATCCACTGAGCCAAACCAGCTAGGGCTGTGCAGAGATTTTGATAATCAGATAATATATGTAGTAAAGTGTGCAATGTCAGTTCCAAGCCCCCATCTGTGACTAATTTATTTTTAAATATTTTTATTGACTTTTAGAGAGAAAGGGAGAGAGAAAAAAAATCCTGGCATGTGCCCTGACTGGGAGTTGAACCAGTGACCTCTCTCAGTGCACGCATGGGGGACGACACTCAACCAACCAATTGAGCCACACTGGCCAGAGCTGTGATTAATTTTTAGAAACAACAAATGGGTTAATATTCATGAGGACACATGACAAGAAAGTCAAGAAAACTAAGTATAGGCAGTTCTGGTAGTTTTATTCATCATAAACACCTGTTTCTACAGTACCATTCAAAGAATAAATAGAGGCACGCGGCTATAATTTCCACCTTAATCTGCTATTGAGGAGACATTCAGTGTGAGGATAAAGGGGTAGAGTGGGTGGGGTGGGGTGTGTTCGGGTCACGGGGTAACTGGAGGCCTCTGTGAAGAACTGTGCAGAGATCCTATCAGTCCAGACCTGATCCCCAGGCCTGATGGCCAAGGCTTGTGGTGGCAGAGTTACAGTGAACCAAATGCAAGGAGCCAAATGCTCGGTTAGTTCACCAGGGTTCCAGGATGGCTCCAATTCTACCTAAACTACTGGTCCACTGGGAAGGAGCTATGTCAGCCCTACGGATTCAGTTCACTCCATGGTAGGACCTGATATGGCCCAGAGAGGTCTGCCCTCTGCCCTGGAGTAAATAATAAATACAAGTTATAAGATGACTGTTTGCATCAGTCTCTTTCCTGACTATCCCATAAAGGAATCCATGTCTAATGAAGGAGAGAGGCACAAATGGGGAGTATCTGCTAGAATTCAGGCGAGCAGGACAGCTTGTCAAGTCAGGGGAAGGGAAACAGCACTGTTACCTAATCCTTCACGGGGAGTATATGTGGCTCATCCACCCCAAATAACAGGCAGAATGAAGAGATTCTGCCTCACTTAGCAGAACAAGAAGTGCAAGGCAAGTGGCAGGTCTGCACTGGGTAACCCAGGGTGCTAGGGACAGAGAGTACCAACAGTGAGACACGGAAAGGACAGCACTGGTAACCACTGCTGCAGGGCCTGGGCCACAGTCCTCAGAACTTCTCTGTGGCCGCAGCCCTGACTGGCAGGTGATGTGGACGGCACAAGGCCATGTCATCTCCTCTCACATCTGGTCCGCTCATTCCCGAGTGGATAGCGGGCCATCTGCTTCACCCAGCACGTGTGAGCGGGTGCAGACAGCGCCCATCACGCGGTGAGGCTCCTGGCTGACTTGGAGGCGCTCTGGGCCCGCTGTACGACCGCCGAGCACTTCTCCCGCCGCAGCAGCTTGTTGTTCTCAAACAGACCTTCGTTGCGTGGGATTCCGTGGGACCCATCGGGGAAAGTCAGCAGGCCTTTGGAGGAGGCAGGAAATAAGGGATAATGGCTTCAGTGATTCAGGGAACAGCTTGACAGATAAGGCTGAGGAAAAGAAGACCTCACAGCCTTCTCGGGAGTACTCTGGCGGTAAGTTTGGTGAATAGGCAGGCGTTCGGGCGCTATCCCTATGGATTTCGGGGCATCCATAGGAGGATGAGAGCTAACGGTATACTTCCCCCCCAATATGGTGCTCACCTAAGTCTCCCATCCTGCTGGGCTGCGACTTACCAAAGCCATCTACTCTGCCATTTTTGAACTCCCCCTCAAAGGTCATGTTGTCGTGTCGAATGAAGACTCCGACGCCATTAAACTTGCCCTGGGCAAACTCCCCCTCATACCTGCAGGAACACAAGATGTTAGCCTTCAGCGGGGCAGTGAGCTGTCCGAGTTAACGCTTACAAGCAGCTTCCGATATGTGTTATTTATGAACGCCAAGGAGCAAAACTGATCTCCCTTATCTCAGGGCTCTGCCAGCCCAGTCTCATTCAGCAGAGAAAGATCAGAGAGTATGTATGGGAGGCCCCCTAATCTCAAGGAAATAGCAGAGCAGTGTGGGGAGGGAGGTCACTCACCTCCTGCCATTTCAAACTTTAGATCTATAAAATAAAAATAAAAAACTCATGCCACTCCTTGCCTATTTTCAGAGAGCCTAGGACAAGCTCTTGTTTGACTAGATATTTATTTATTTATTTAGAATATATTTTATTGATTTTTTACAGAGAGTAAGGGAGAGGGATAGAGAATTAGAAACATCGATGAGAAACATCTATCAGCTGCCTCCTGTACACTCCCCACTGGAGGATGTGCTTGCAACCAAGGTACATGCCCTTGACTGGAATCAAACCTGGGACTCTTCCAGCAGGCTGATGCTCTATCCACTGAGCCAAACTGGTTAGGGCTGACCAGATATTTATTACTATCATTTTTAGATCAGATTCTTCCTAGTTTAAGGCTGAGGAAAGAAGGAACCAGTACCCACCTGGAGCCATCTGAGAAGGTCAGTACCCCAAAGCCACAGAAGAGCCCATTCT